GTACAGAGAATAAAGGGGGCAGATTTCCGGGCGTTGTAGAATAGATTCAGGGCATTATGTACAGACAAAGATATGGAAGGATATGAGTACAGTGGAGGTAAACCTAAGCGTTGGGTAACAATGAAAGAGATAGCATCACTGGAGGCACCGATTGAGCCGGTCTCGGCGTGTATGGGGGGTGGAACAAAGGAACTATTTGAGGCAGTTTGAGAGGGACTACAATTTCACTTCAACAGTGAAATTGTATAATAGGAATTAACTGGAACAGCAATAGGCAAGGCATATTGACATGGGAGAGAGGCATAAAGCAATCACAGGTGTTATTAGAGAGAGCTAAGACAACAACTGGTAATGGCGATAAAGTTTGGGCTGAGGCTAAACAGAATAAACAGGACAGGGTACCGTGTTAAGGAACAGTCCAGCAGGCATCAGCTGTGCAGCTGAGTGATCATAAGGTCCAGTGAACAGCAATATGTGAGTCCGAGAGCAGTTCAAATTGGTGCTTCAGCACAGCGAGCAGGAAGCACGGTTGTAGTTTGCGTGTGCTAGCGAGCCGGAGCTAGCAGATGGATCTTCGTGGTCATCGCAACGGGAAGCCTGTTGAAACCACAGACGATTACGTCGGCAGACCAGTCGTGATGGATCGGCAGGGCTCTGTGTCGACTCTAGGAGGTCCCGTCCGGTTGACAGAGAGGTAGATAGCCGGAAGATGTGCCTGACTCAAGGCTAGCTCAAGGCTGATTAGCCAACAACAGCGTTCATTTGGTTGCAGCTAGCTAGTTGCGATTATCCAGTGTTAAAGGTCCAGTGATTCAGTTATTCCGGCAGAAAATCCGATAGGTTCTGGGTCGATAACTCGCTGTGCAGACAGTGCAGACTGGCCGATAATAGTCCAGGCTAGAGCTGGCTGGTAGGTAGTGCAGGCCACGGACAATGGGGAAAAGCCGCTAACGGTGGCTAATAGCAAGTAGCTAGTTAGCTGGTTAGCTGGCTACTCCCGTCCGGTAGACAGAGAGGTAGATAGCCGGGGCTAGCTCAAGGCTCAAGGCTAACTGGTGCTACGGGGGCAGTGGTGATTAGCCTACAGCAACATCCATTCGACATCCATTCGGTTGCGGCTAGCTAGATCCGGTGTTAAGGTCCAGTGATTCAGTTATTCCGGCAGAAAATCCGATGTTCTGGGTGAAAACCGCTAACGGTGGCTAATAGCAAGTAGCTAGTTAGCTAGTTAGCTGGCTGGCTAGTTTCAACTGGAGATTCTAGATAAAGGTGAGTAAATAATAGAATCCGTTCCACATTGAGTGAGGCGGGTTGCAGGAAAATATATTTAGTAGAAGGATGAAAAGTGTGATAGGGAAATATATACATAAAATACAAATAAAAATACAAAAAACTGGCTATTTACATGGACACACAAGAGAACGCGACCGCACTGCTACGCTATCTTGGACTATCTATATAGCCTAGTTACTCCTGTTATTATTTCTCTATTTCTCTATTATTTCTATTTTTCTCTCTGCATTGTTGGGAAGGTCCCGTATGTAAGCATTTCACTGTTAGTCTACACCTGTTGTTTACCAAGCATGTGACAAATACCATTTTATTTTATTTGAATAATTCAAAATGTCACATTTCTGAGCATATCATCTATAATGGATAAGTTATTAATGTGTTATTAATGAGATATTATGTGTTTGTCCGGAGTGTAACAGTATTTGGGGCAACATCTCAGTTTGACTCCTGAATCTAGGTCTGTCCTGTATCTAGGACGTAAATCCATATTTAGAAGTTGTGTTCCTTCTTCTCAGTCACTTTCCCTCAGGCAAAATGACTTACCATAGGAGGTAAACTAACAGCGCAATGCATGACCATGATCATGACAGTCCTGCTGCACCAAACCTGCCCATGGTTAATATGCAGTATCATCAGCTGCTGTCAGGTTCACAGTTTTCAAGATGAAGTTAATCTGAACATATAGGACACAGATTAAGCCTAATCCTGGGTCTAAAAACATGCTCAGTGGAGAATCTTCATTGAAAGGGCTTTTAAGTCCAAGACTAGGCTTAACCTTTGTCGGGAAACCAGCCCGTATGTTATAGAGACAGAAGCCTGAATGTGGCTGAGCGCTACAGACTGTAGGCAATGTATAGCACAGCAGACAGTAGAGCAGATAGACCAGATCCCTAGACGCACAGTGAGGAGTCTGAGGACACCGCAAAGTAAAACTACAGCATAGCAAATAACAGATAGGGGGTAAAAATAACCTGTCTCTAATATACGGCATGCCAGCAAATATAAGGGTCAAGGTTTCACTTAAAAAATAATATATGCAATATGAAATTAATAAACAACAACAAAATACAATGTGTGGGAAAACAATCACTCCAAACTGGGAAATTAATTCAAGCAGACATACAGTATATATAAAAAAAAAATCTAAGGTTTCCTTGACAGGGATAACAAGTGTAAAGCAGCATACCCTTATTGAAGAGGGGATAATATAGTATTTGTGGAATGGGCTTTGCCAGCAATTATGACTGAGTACAAAGCTGCTCAATCAGGTGCCTGAATGAAAGCTAAACTCAAAGGTGAGCAAAAAAATGTGTTCTGAGTTCCAGACTCAGTGTAATAAGCGTCAGCACAGCACTACTTAATATGGATGTTGTTGTTTTTTTATTTTCAGGAAGATCAAAGTTAGAACAGAATGTGCTTTTCGCTTAAAGTGGCAATCTGCAATTTGTAATGTTTTTTTTTTCTTTACTTTTAAATTAATGATACCCATTGATTCTTGAAGAATATAACTTATAAATTCCCCATGAGTTTAGTTCACCTGTCGTACCCCATCAGAACCCAAAATAGAAGCTTGTTTTACTCCAATGTTTGTAAACAATATAAATGTCACAAACACTGTAGCATATAGCCCGTGAACACTCTATATCAAAACATGGTTAAAACCATCATCTCATTGATGGTCAGTCCTTGTAACCAGAGCTCTGTCTGTGAATTTGAGAGTGGTTACATTTCTACTGCCCCTTCCCTTGCTTAACTGTTTAACAAGACAGTGGTCGGTTGCCCACTTTTTTTGTGGTTTGAACTGCAGATTGCTCCTTTCAACAGAAGTTCTCCATCTAGAGACTGTGATGGGTCCTCTACAGTGAATATAGCACACTCCAATATAGAACACATCTCCGGAGGGTGTGTGCAACACTAGCAGTATGTTGCATTCTCAGATGTTTCTTCAAGAAAGCGTGCCAGAAAATGGGTCAAGCTATAGTGTGGCTGGGAAGTTCACTGAGTGAGTGTTTGACAATAACCTTGTCTTAGAGGTCTCCTCTATCTGGGGAGGAAGTAGAATAATGATATCCAAGAGTTTCATGAGGATAGAATAGAATTCTAAAACGTTTGTATGTCAGTCAGTCTTATAAAGGCTAACACAGTTTATTTTATAAGACTGACTGACAGACAAAGATTTTGGAATTCTAGTCAATCCTCATGAAACTCTTGGATATCACAGTTTCACTTTTATGTTAGTGAGACAGCAAGATCGGGTCACCCGTGTGAGCAGGTTTTGACCCTGTAAAGCACGTTTGTCAAACTCACTCCATGGAGGGCCAACTGTCTGCAGGTCTTCGCTCATCTCTTGTACTTGATTGATTACTTAAGGTCACTAATTAGTAAAGAACTCCCCTCACCTGGTTGTCTAGGTCTTAATTGAAAGGAAAACCCCCCAAAACAGCAGACACTAGGCCCTCCATGGAATGAGTTTGACACCACTGGTGTAAAGGGAGTGTCAGAGCCATAGAAATATAATAACTATTATATGAATTATATTTATATTGTCTCAGTCAGCCTTTTCATGGTGGCGTGCTGCAGCCAGGAGACTGTACACTCTTAGAAAAAAATTAGCTATCTAGAACCTAAAAGGGTTCTTCGGCTGTCCCCATAGGATAACTCTTTGAATAACCCTTTTTGGTTCAAGGTAGAACCCTTTTGGTTCAAGGTAGAACCCTTTTGGGTTCCATGTAGGACCCTTTTTACAGAGGGTTCTACATGGAACCCAAAAGGATTCTATGTGGAACCAAAAAGTGTTCTCCCGGAACCAAAAAGGGTTCTCCTAAGGGAACAGCCAAAGAACCCTTTTGGAACCCTTTTTTCTAACGGTGTACTAGGCTAACAGTGGGGTGTTGTAGCCAGGAGACTGTGTAGCAGGCTGTATGTCCTGCTGGTCTGTTTATTACCCTGTTGATTGGATCAGTAGATTTATCAGGGATATGAGCTCAATCATCTCCACAGAGGTGTTTATTACAAGCCCCACACAGACAGCCCATGTAGCCTACTGCCCCATAGCAATGTACTACTGTTGGAACGTGCTGAAATCATTCATGAGGGTGTGAAATTAGAATTATATAAACTAGCACACCTAATCCAGTGGGAAAATTTGGTTGAAATGACATATATATGTACAGGTATGAGTTTTACCCAGCTGTCCCTCCCTGTTCAAGTCCCACTATAGCCCTCTGCCCTCTGAGTCCATTGTCTCCATGGTGGTGCTAGCAGCATTTAAATGTTGTCTCTGACTGTCCCATGTTGATGCTGTCATTTTGGTTGTCTGCTGAACAGCCCTCTGTCTATCTGCAGCATGTGTTGTCTCTGCTGGACAGCCCTCTGTCTATCTGCAGCATGTGTTGTCTCTGCTGGACAGCCCTCTGTCTATCTGCAGCATGTGTTGTCTCTGCTGGACAGCCCTCTGTCTATCTGCAGCATGTGTTGTCTCTGCTGGACAGCCCTCTGTCTATATGCAGCATGTGTTGTCTCTGCTGGACAGCCCTCTGTCTATCTGCAGCATGTGTTGTCTCTGCTGGACAGCCCTCTGTCTATCTGCAGCATGTGTTGTCTCTGCTGGACAGCCCTCTGTCTATCTGCAGAATGTGTTGTCTCTGCTGGACAGCCCTCTGTCTATCTGCAGCATGTGTTGTCTCTGCTGGACAGCCCTCTGTCTATATGCAGCATGTGTTGTCTCTGCTGGACAGCCCTCTGTCTATCTGCAGAATGTGCTTCACTAGGAAAGCTCCTGCCTCGTCAACATTGAGATTGTCCTGAAAGTCAGACATAAGGGAACACGATACAAGAAAAAAAAAAAAAATCATTCTGAGGTTATTTAGGACTGGTGAAATGTAAACCCTTTTAGTCAGTGTCAGAGTCAGTATCAGGTTTGTAGCAGTTTTCCGTTAAATTACAACATCCATTAGTCCCCAAACCCTCTATGAGGGTGAACAGAGCTTTTACTAACAGATGAGTGAAGGCAATGGTGGTTTCACTGACAGCCATTGCAATACATGTTTGCCTTGCACAGCTTCTTTAAACCCCAGTAAAGCACTGTTACTATAGTACGAACTTTAAAGTTAATGTGTACACACCGTAAACCTTTATGAGTACATTGTTACCATGTTACAGTTAAACAATTAACATCAGGTGACTTCATTCCATAACTGATATCTCCCTCACCTTTGCTGACGTCTCAAACCACCCCAGGAAGCCTTCTTCTTCACAGTAGTTGTCCATGAGGGCAGACAGTTGCTTGTTCCCCTCTTTGTGGTCACACTTGGACAGCAGGGATAGGGGCTTCCACTGGCCAGTCTCACTTTGCTATCTAGGTCATGCTTCCACTGGCCAGTCTCACTTTGCTATCTAGGTCATGCTTCCACTGGCCAGTCTCACTTTGCTATCTAGGTCATGCTTCCACTGGCCAGTCTCACTTTGCTATCTAGGTCATGCTTCCACTGGCCAGTCTCACTTTGCTATCTAGGTCATGCTTCCACTGTGAGGCAGTCTCTAATGTCTCCATCTTGGTCACGTCAAAGACTTTGAACGCCCCCATGGCCTCCTTGTAGTACGCTCTGGACATGTTCCTAATCCGCTCCTGACCTTCAGGAATAGTGTGTCCCTATGGGCCTGGTCAAAAGCAGTGCACTATCAAGAGAATAGCGTACCTTTTGGGACACCACCATACAGGTTGTCATCTGCTTTGCTTTCTTAAATCCTTCTTAACTTTGATTGGAAAGCTGTTCCCTATATACATGTTAATCTGGCTGTACAACTTGGAAAGCTAAATGTTTAACCCATGGGGAGACAACCTAGTAAATCTCCCCAACACCAGAGTCTGATCCAATATCAGGAGACAGCAGAGGGTGCACCCCCTATCCACATCGACGGGACCGCAGTGGAGAAGGTGAAAAGCTTCGAGTTCCTCGACGTACACATCACTGACAATCTTAAATGGTCCACCCACACAGACAGTGTGGTGAAGAAGGCGCAACAGCACCTCTTCAACTTCAGGAGGCTGAAGAAATTTGGCTTGGCCCCTAAGACCCTCACAAACCTTTACAGATGCACAATTGAGAGCATCCTGTCGGGCTGTATCACCACCTGGTACGGCAACTGCACCGCCCGCAACCGCAGGGCTCTCCAGAGGGTGGTACGGTCTGCCCAACTCATCAATGGGGGGCACACTGCCTGCCCTCCAGGACACCTACAGCACCCGATGTCACAAGAAGGCCAAAAATATCATCAAGGCCATCAGACTGCTAAATAACCATCACTAGTCGGCTACCACCCAGATACTCAACCCTGCACCTTAGAGGCTGCTGCCCTATGTACATAGACATGGAATCACTGGTCACTTTAATAATGTTTACATACTGTTTTACTAATTTCATATGTATATACTGTATTTCAATGTATTTTAGTCAGTGCCACTCTGACATTGCTCGTCCTGATATTTATATATTATTTAATTCCATTAATTTCCTTTTAGATTTGTGTGTATTGTTGTGAATTGTTAGATACTACTGCACTGTTGGAGCTAGGAACACAAGCATTTCGCTACACCCGCAATAACATCTGCTAAATAATTTATGTGACCAATAACATTTGATTTGATTTCTCAAAAGCAGAGAAACACATAACTGTGACCGTCATAATATTGTCAACACACTCCACAGTGAAATATATGTGCTCTTGAATAAAAATCTATGTTGAAATATATCACTGAACCATAGATAATCAAGACCTCATTCCAGTCATATTTTGTGATGGCAAATTATACACTGCTCTATTCACTCTAATAGGCTTTGTTGAGTTAGTTTGATAATCTTATTTCTTAATAGTTTTATGAGTGAGAAAAAAACATGACTGTGCGAGCTGGAAACATCTGCTGATAATATTTCAGCTGTTTGTGTCCTATAAACCTGCTTGCTTTACCTGCAATGTCCCAAAGCTGAAGTCTCACAACTGTCTCACCGTCCCGTTCGGTCGTTTTCAACGCGAAGTCAACGCTGATCCTTGAAGCGTATGTTGACGTAGCGCGAGATGAAGCTGTTTTTTCCAACTCCTTGCTCTCCAATTACCAAAACTTTAAACGTATACTCCGTGCATCAGTGGAGGCTGCTGAGTGGAGAACGGCTCATAATAATGTCTGGAAACCATGTGTTTGATGTATTTGATACCATTCCAACAATTCCCGCTCCAGCCATTACCACGAGCCAATTTAGGTGGCACCAACCTCCTGGTGCCCGTGGCCCCTGATATAAACCCCCTGCCATGTTGAAATATTGCATTAAACCAAGACAACATCAGGCTTGTTGTATGCTCATGATACTAAACCCCCTGCCATGTTAATATCCTGCAACATCAGGCTTGTTGTATGCACATGATACTAAACCCCTGCCATGTTGAAATATCAACAGCAACATCAGGCTTGTTGTATGCACATGATACTAAACCCCCTGCCATGTTGAAATATCAACAGCAACATCAGGCTTGTTGTATGCACATGATACTAAACCCCCTGCCATGTTGAAATATCAACAGCAACATCAGGCTTGTTGTATGCACATGATACTAAACCCCCCTGCCATGTGAAAATATCAACAGCAACATTCAGGCTTGTTGTATGCACATGATACTAAAACCCCCTGCCATGTTGAAATATCACAGCAAACATCAGGCTTGTTGTATGCACATGATACTAAACCCCCTGCCATGTGAAATATCAACAGCAACATCAGGCTTGTTGTATGCTTCATGATACTAAACCCCCTGCCATGTTGAAATATCAACAGCAAACATCAGGCTTGTTGTATGCTCATGATACTAAACCCCCTGCCATGTTGAAATATCAACAGCAACCATCAGGCTTGTTGTATGCACATGATACTAAACCCCCTGCCATGTTGAATATCAACAGCAACATCAGGCTGTTGTATGCACATGATACTAAACCCCTGCCATGTTGAAATATCACAGCAAATCAGGCTTGTTGTATGCACATGATACTAAAACCCCCTGCCATGTTGAAATATCAACAGCAACATCAGGCTTGTTGTTGCACATGATACTAAAACCCCTGCCATGTTGAAATATCAACAGCAACATCAGGCTTGTTTGTATGCACATGATACTAAAGCCCTGCCATGTTGAAATATCAACAGCAACATCAGGCTTGTTGTATGCACATGATACTAAACCCCCTGCCATGTTGAAATATCAACAGCAACATCAGGCTTGTTGTATGCACATGATACTAAACCCCCTGCCGTGTTGAAATATCAACAGCAACATCAGGCTTGTTGTATGCACCATGATACTAAACCCCTGCCGTGTTGAAATATCAACAGCAACATCAGGCAGCAACATCAGGCTTGTTGTATGCACATGATACTAAACCCCCTGCCATGTTGAAATATCAAAGCACATCAGGCTGTTGTATGCACATGATCTAAAAAACACCCCCTGGCCATGTTGAAATATCAACAGCAACATCAGGCTTGTTGTATCCTCGTGATATAAACCAGAGAACAGCTACACGTTCTTTTTGCTACATGTGACCATGAATGAATGACTCAGTACACGTGCAACAACAAAACAAAATATTAATTTATTCTAACAAAACCTATATCTTTCAGAATGAAAACGATGTTCTGCACTACTGTATGAAGGCATTTCTATCAAACAGCCTATTCATATTCCTGATGATAATACCCACTGTTTATTAACAATTGGGAAAAGTAAGAATAATGTTGTACAAACCCAGCAGTCACAATAAACAACACACTTATAAATTGTAAAATAAACTTTAGGTAGTAATGCCTTTAGTAAAACTAATTTGAATCATTACCAAAATAGGATGGATACTACATACAGTACATTCACAAAACGAATGACAGTCTATGACATTCTATGACATTTTTGGCAATCATATTTTATTATAAACTGGGTGGTTTGAGCCCTGAATGCTGATTGGCTGAAAGCTGCGGTATATCAGACCGTATACCACAGAGGTATACCACAAAACATGTATTTTTACTCTTCTAATTCCATTGGTAACAGGTTTATAATGGCAATAAGGCACCTCAGGGGTTTGTGGTATATGGCCAATATACCACGGCTAAGGGCTATATCCAGGCACTCAGCGTAGCGTCACGCTTAAGAACAGGCTGTTCTTAAGCGCGACGATACGCTGAGTGCCTGGATATAGCCCTTAGCCGTGGTATATTGGCCATATACCACACCCCCTCGGGCCTTATTACTCAAATAGATACTGTTGCAAGTATGGATTTAGAGAGCTGTAGACTTGCAATAGAAATTAGAGATATTTTTTAATGTTTTTTAGTTTTTTTGTAAATGGAAGCATTCAGGATACATGGCACTTGAACATCCTTCTGGTTTGGCTTTCTACATTCTTACAGTAGTTATTATATCAGTATCATATCTTCATTCTGACGGTATCTGATGCGGACAGAGGCGGTAATAATCGTTGTTATTTTTTCAAAATATAATGCACACTTGACATGAGAAAAACGTCAAACACATTCATCTAGAATATTTTACATTTTACAGGTTATTATTCTATTAGAAAACACAGGTCTACACAGCGCATATATCATTTATACACATGTTTGTGTGAACTACAGGGGGGATAGTCTGATAGCATTATAATTGATAAACCACCTAATTTCAAGCGGTGGAAGTTTGCCTTTGTCACGATCGCCAATAAAGTAGGACCAAAGCGCAGCGTTGGGAGTGAACATGACTTTAATGTTGAAATAACGACAAAACAAAACACGATCCGTGACGTCCTCAGTTACACCGACTGAATAAAGAACAAAAACCCACCAAAACAACATACACCCTGGCTCAAATACACAAGTCCTGGAGCCAGAGTGTGACAGTACCCCCCCCTAAAGGTGCGAACTCCGGGCGCACCAGCATACAGTCTAGGGGAGGGTCTGGGTGGGCGTCTGTCCACGGTGGCGGTTCTGCCCCTGGTCGTGGTCCCCATCCCACCTTAGTCACCACCCGCTTCCCTAGCCTCCTCCACATTACCACCCCCCAACTACACCCCACTGGGTTAAGGGGCGGCACCGGACTAAGGGGCAGCACCGGACTACGGGGAAGTACCGGACTAAGGGGCAGTACCGGACTAAGGGGCAGTACCAGGCTGAATGGCGGATACTGGCTGGACGGCTCTGGTGGCTCCTGGCTGGTCGGCTCTGGCGGATCCTGGCTGGACGGCTCTGGCGGATCCCGGCTGGACGGCTCTGGCGGATCCCGGCTGGACGGCTCTGGCGGATCCCGGCTGGACAGCTCTGGCGGATCCCGGCTGGACGGCTCTGGCGGATCCTGGCTGGACGGCTCTGGCGGATCCTGGCTGGACGGCTCTGGCGGATCCTGGCTGGACGGCTCATGGCTGGCTGATGGATCTGGCTGCTCATGGCTGGCTGACGGATCTGGCTGCTCATGGCTGGCTGACGGATCTGGCTGCTCATGGCCGGCTGACGGATCTGGCTGCTCATGGCTGGACGGCTCTGGCGGATCCTGGCTGGCGGAAGGCTCTGGCTGATCCTGTCTGGCAGAAGGCTCTGGCTGATCCTGTCTGGCGGAAGGCTCTGGCTGATCCCGTCTGGCGGAAGGCTCTGGCTGATCCCGTCTGGCGGAAGGCTCTGGCTGATCCTGTCTGGCGGACGGCTCTGGCTGGACAGGGCTGACGACGCACCCCGTAGGCTCGGGGCGTTGAGCAGGGACAGGCAGAACCGCACTGGGGACACACACCCCTGGCCCTACACGGGGATCAGGAACGGGCCGGACCGGACTGGAAACACCCCCCAGTACCTCTCGCCGTGCCTCCACACTTTCCATCCCCTTCGTAACCAGTGGCCCCCTTAAACTGGCGGCCATATCTGCCAACCTCTTGCACTCCTCCGGGCCGTACACCTTCTGCCCCGACGTCGTGAGCCCCCCCCTAAAAATTTTCTGGGGGTCTCTCCTCTCGGTGGACCAGGCCTCCATAGTCCTCTCCCAACCTTCACTCTTCTGGCTCCACCACCCGTTATCCAACTGCTGCTTGGTCTCGTTGTGGTGGGTTTTTCTGTCACGATCGCCAATAAAGTAGGACCAAAGCGCAGCGTTGGGAGTGAACATGACTTTAATGTTGAAATAACGACAAAACAAAACACGATCCGTGACGTCCTCAGTTACACCGACTGAATAAAGAACAAAAACCCACCAAAACAACATACACCCTGGCTCAAATACACAAGTCCTGGAGCCAGAGTGTGACAGCCTTAATGAAAACAAGCAACAAACACAATCATTATTGTAATACCTGATGATGGTGAAATGTACACTGTATTGTACCCTTAATAACTTCTACTTAAATTACTTCAATAGGTATGAAAGAGACTATCTTATATTTTTGTTTTCCTAATAAGCACAAAGCCTAGAGCAAGTTCAACGTTTTTCACCTCTTGCATAAACATAGAAATGCATTTTGCAATGGGTTAAATCTTTCAGTCTTTAAACCATGATATTTACTATACAACAATGAGACCTTTTTAAAAGTATGCGTTTTTGCTCACTTTTGTCCCTGTTAACACAAACACTTTTGCTCATAGATTTCATGAGTCAACCAATATAGTCCTGTCAGTCACTCAATAACTTATTCAAGACATTGTTGCCATTTCTTACTGGTCATTAAATGGAACACAAACAATATGCTACAGGTCATCAGCTACAAAATGGCTCTATATTATTCAACTATATTTACAGTACTCCTTCACAGCGTTGAGGAGCTTTGTTTGTAGTCCTTCAGAATGACAGAGGCGTAGTTCGGAGGGGTGCACAATATGGACTCGGCCACGGGTGAGGCGTTGTGGAAGGGACTCCCCGTGCTCACTGTATCACGGAACGGGGAGGGGGGCATCAGGGCCATAGAATCCTCCACGGCTAATTTGATCGGAACGACGTCGTCCTCCTCTTCTTCTTCGTGAATCAGGGCGTTGT